AGTTGGACTCCTTTGGTGCGTCGTCAATAACGGTACCACGCGGGAAATCGTTGGCAGTTTCGCAACAATTGCCGTGGTACTGGTTTTCCCCTTTCTGTGGCTGTTGTTATGGCGCCTGGCCCACTTAAAGGTGGCCAACAAATGGATCTCCCAGCTTCCCACTCATTTAAGCCCGCCGCCGCATCAAGTAAACAAAATTTAAATTTTTGACCGAAGCGTTCACTCGTTGGTATTTTTTGTATAAAATAAAGGAGTGGTATTTTATAATTTTCCTATCACCTTACACTCGCGATCGTTTCGAAATTCGATTCAATTAAATGCTCTTTAGACTTATCGATTTGTTTTCATTCAAATGGAAAAAATACTAAAAACTAATTAATTTTGTCATTGTAATGTGTTATGGACGGCTTTCTGAAGTAGCCGATAACCGACAGGGCTGGAGAAGAAGATCAGACAGCGGCCTATGCTGTGGAGCGCACCACACATCACACACGTTACACACTCATCACACACACACCACACACACTAAAAACCCGCACGTATTCACGTAGAAATAGCCACACATATTAACCCTATTATTAAAATGATATACGGAAAATAAGCACATACACACATCATACCCACTGCAACCTCATTCGCCCTTTGTATATTCATTCCCGGAACACTTAATCAATTCACACTTAGCACATATAATTTTGTTTGACTTGATAGTTCAAAACACAAGTCGTCACACCTGAAGTAAAATAAAATAAAATACATACCCACCCACCCCCCCCCCCCTCCGAATACCAACCCACTTTTTCCCAACTTATACATATCAATGCAATAACTACTAACAAGAGCTCTTTTTAGTTTAAGTTAATCATTTATTTTTTTTTTTTTTTTTTGAGGTTTTAAGTTACCGCTCTACCCTTAGGTAAGGCACTCTCAAGGGGGAAATCGCCACGTCGTAATATGTAACTTGGTTACAGCTTTGCTCCAATACTTACCTGGCGTAGAGGTTATGTTCCCCACGTGCTTGGAAAAATTATTTAAATAATTCAGTAAATTTCAATCTCCAGCTGATGACCAGGGCTGGCCGAAAGCAAGTTAATCATTTAAATTTGCATGCCACTTTCAGCTTTGTTTACCTAAAATTGGGGATGCCACCTCGGGCAAAAGAAAAATAGAATCCGTGTGTATTTTTTTTTTTGAATGTTAGTATTTTTATGTTAGTATTTATTTATTCCGCAAGGTGAATGTCAATCGAGGTATAAAAATGTTTTAGGAATTAAGTAGAGTTATAAAATTAAAAATAGAAAAATGTTGAAGTATATTTGAAAATTTGAAAAGAAAATGAAAATGGAGTAGAGCTTATTAGATTGGGTGGGACGAGAGAGGTCGGAAGAGTGGAACCAGATGTTTATTAATCGGGAGCGTGCAACATTTTGAAAGCTCATGGATGGGAGGGACTGGCAATGGTCAAAGAAAACACCGACTGACCCCGCCGAGGAGAGTGCCAACGTAAACGCGTGTAAAAAAAATAGATCTGTCCGTTACACGCGAGAAAGTAGGTTTTTTTTGTTAAATCCGTCCCCTGGCTATCGGGTCGAAAACACCCCTGACTTCCCCGAGAGCTAGCAGGGAACGATAGACCAGGGCGGCAAAAAGGCGGTTCATAAAAAATGTATAAAACAATCTGAACTTGGCAGAGGTTAAAAATTATATTTAGCTATAATTCCCGATGGCCGATATTTTTCAATGTATCCCGCATAGGGAAATTGAAACACGCTAGATCTAACTAGGTTCCAACTGGATAATAGCTATATTGGCAACACTTTTGTCGATTACCAATTGGTATATACTATATATTTCTGAGCTTCAGCCACACTGCACACCTGACGTTTTCTCCACGAAGGGGGCGGATGGGAGACGTTGGTTAATAATAACAATTCCTAAACATTGTGCGGGCGCAAAGTGTTGCGAACCCTAACCCGAAAGTGCAACGCTGCTTTATGAAGAGAAAGCTACGAGGAAATTACAACATATCGCGCATTCCACGACGCGACCACAGGAGCAGCAGCCCCAGAAGAGCATAGCAAAAGGTGACGCAAAAAGTTTACACGACGACGTATGTGGGGGCGGACGGGAGGCGTTGGTTAATAATAACAATTGGTATGTATTGTATAGTGTGCGCACACACAGTTAAACGGAGGTTCACGGTAGCTCGTAGCCCGTAGAAGGCCTCCACACACATTGAGACACTGGTTTTCGGGGCGCGTTGGCAAAATCAAAGTAAGACAGACGTCTGTCGCTTTCCAGAGAGCGCTCTCGCAATTGTTACATACATTCAGTGTGTATGTTCTTGACACACCTGGTCGAGATGAAGAGTAGAGTTAAACAAATTGGGGAATGCCTCATGTTATTCGGATTTGTGGTAACTGGTAGGGGGTGCGAAGAAACCGAAAAGTTGTAATGGTGGGTGGCATGCCATGCCCAGGTGCGTCGTGACGTGTTGTCGTCGCGCGGTGGAACCTTTCCATGTTTGCTTGTGCTAAATGCGATCATGTTTTATGACTCGCCCCGCAGTCCGCAGATAAGGTTCTAATTCCTATTGTCCGAGGTCGGTCGCCGCAGCAATCAGCGGAAAAGTAGCAAATTTTCTTTACATTCTGATTTTCTCTGATCTTTCGCTTGTTTTTTTCCCCCAGCTGTTTATTCGAGTGAGGTGAGCTGCAGCCACGGCACAGTTGCCTCAATTACTTGCAGTTGGCGCACTTGCAATTCTCTCATTAGGCAGGGCCGTGCTTCCGGCAGTGCTGGGCAGGGCAGGGGACCAGATTCCCTTTCTGCGCAGTGCTTTCACTCGAAAGACTTCAGCAAGTGGGGGCTGAGTAATTGTTCCATTAAGTAACCAATTAACAGCTGTTTATCCAAGAGCTGGGCTCTTGCAGCTCCTATAAACAGCAGTGTTCAGGCACATTTTTCCGCATAGTCACCTAGGCAGGCCATGCCTTCCCTATTTTTCTCGCACTTCCGGCACAGCATCGACTGCTTGGAGCTGATCCACAAGGATGACCACAAGGTGCGCACCAGTGCTTCACGGACATCCCTCATTGAAGATCCTCTCCTTAAGTTTCCCCAATCTAATAATAATAATACTGTGATAAGTGTGCGACGACCAAGATTGCCCAAATTCTGTCGAGCATGGAAATGGAAATGAGTAATTTTACTCAGAGAGCAATGGGAGGCCACTGAGCACTTAATTGCGCAATTTTTATCCCATCCCATTCGAGGGTACTTGTAGGCACAATAAAAATAATAACGAAATGCAAATTACTAGTGGCTCTATCTGTCTGTCCCTCTCGCTTTGAGTTTGCATACATAATGGGACGGTTGTGGGCGTACTTGAATGTAACACATGTACTTTATGTGCCCTCAGTTTGCTGTCGTTGCGGCAGGAGAGTTGGCGTTGGCGATGGCCACTGCACCGCGCTCACTGGACACCATCTCACTGTGCTCCACCGTGTCTAGCTGCCCCGATCGCAATGGCTTCTACGGCGGCTTTCAGCGCACAGATAAACCCAAAGAGCCCCTTTCCAAGGCCCAGATCATAGCTCGTGAGAAGAAATGGCTGAATATGATCGAAAATTGGTCCATCTACATGTCGAAGAACTACAAAAAGGTGAGCTAGATCCACTCTCTTCCATCCCTCTTCATGCCATTAAATGTGTAATGTAATTTCTGCAGATTCGTGATCGCTGTCGCAAGGGCATTCCCAAGTCTGTGCGGCCCAAGGCCTGGTTCTATTTATCCGGAGCATATCTCCTTAAAAATAGGAATCCAAATGTCTACAAAGAGCTGCTGGAGAAGCCGGGCAACCCAGCAACCATCGAGGAGATTAAGAAGGACAAGCACCGTCAGTTTCCGTTCCACGAAATGTTTCTCGATGAACAGAAGATCGGCCAAATAGAGCTTTTCAACGTGCTGAAGGCCTACTCCATATACAACCCCAAGGTGGGATTCTGTCAAGCGCAGGCACCGATAGCCGCATTCCTATTGATGCATCTGCCAGCAGAGGACGCCTTTTGGGTGTTTGTGAGCGTGTGTGATGTGTAAGTCAACCTCATCACATTCCAAGAGTTTTTCATTCTAAACTTATTATGTAATATTGCAGCTACCTGCAGGACTACTTCATACCTGGCTTGGAGGTTTTACAAAACGATGCAGGCATACTGGAGGGCCTGCTGAAGAAAACCTGCCCGCCAGTGTATCGCCATCTGCAAAAGCACAAAGTGGAGCCGTTGCTATACATGACCGAGTGGTTCCTCTGCGGCATGACTCGCACTCTGCCCTGGGACACACTGCTACGCGTGTGGGACTGCTTCCTGGCCGAGGGCATTCGGGTTATCTTCAAGGTAGCCCTGGTCATAATCGGCGCCTCGCTGAGTCGGCACAAAGTTCGCAAGACCTGCACTGGCCTCTGCGAGACACTGGCTGTGATGCGCTCCCCGCCAGAACAAATCCTGGAGGAGGAGTTTATCATCAACAATATGATGCGGCTCAATCTGCGCGTGGAAGACTTTCAAATAGAGCACACGAGGCAGAAGGCGCGACGGGCCAAGCAGAAGGCCCAACAAGATGGGAACGATTCGGGGCCCAGCAACGGACGGCGCAATATGCCAACGCTGTGAGGTATCTGGATCACGATCACGATAACGATCACGAGGCCAAGCAATCAATTAGGATAGATATCGCCACAAAAAACCACTACTACAGCAATGGGCATCAACAAATTGTTACTAAACACACACACACACAGAGAGAATGGATTTGTTGCATCTATTGTTAAATTAAAAGGGGTCGGATCGTGCACAAAGTGGATGTGAATGTGGGTTACGGAGACATCATTCCATGCAATCGGTTTGTCTAATTTTAAGCCAATTCTGTTAATTCGTATCTTTATTGGAATTCGTATTATTATTATCAGTTAGTTGCACATTTTTACGAGCGTGCAATTGTTTATGCTTTTCAAAAGTATTTATTATAACTATTTATTATTATTAGTGTTAGAGCTGAGTTTGAGGATCCCGAACATATCGTATTATAATCGTCCCTCACCCACGAGACACCGTTTCCCAGGCAGCTGAGTATGGTCCTCCACATATGTATGTATTTTTATCACTGACTCGACCAGTGACCAGTTTACGTTTACCCTTTGCGAATGAATCAAGCGCAGAGAGAATACGTTGCCGGCAACATCTCCACAGCTCCAGCAGCCTGTTGCGGCTTGTGGGGGTTTCGGCCATAATCGAAATTAAACTTCATGACTAATAAAACAGAATTATATATACACATGTAATCCTTGTCTTGTAATAATTTTGATGAAACCACGACAGTGAATTGATTGTCACTGCATAGCCGAGATATGGCGATTATGTCTATTAGATCTCAAAGTGAATGGCGTATTTATTAACATTATTAAAACAGAGAGTTATCCCAGAGAGGGAATGTGTGGTTTGCCACGCTTTTCTGACTAATTCCTGATTAGTAGAGAGAACAGAGCTCGATCATCATCTAAATCTCGCACTGAAAGCATATTAATTGTAGTTCATTGTACAATTGTACTTTTAGTCTTAAAAATGTCATTGAAATGTGGATGAGAGGGGGCGAGGGTTCAAATAAATAGGTTTGAGGACTTACAACTGCTTAAGTGAGAGGAATTAAAGCTAAACTATGAGTATGAGTGGAAACTAGGTGTTATTGGGTAATCACTAAGAATACTTTGCTCATTCTCTCATAGCAATAAGAGACTCGATTATTCGGTTGATCACTGGAAGATCACGTTTTGGCGGACAGTGGGATTTGGATTGGGTGGCAGGTGTGGTGTTGTGTTGTGAGTGATGCACCCTAACACCCTCCTAGCAGAAACTGATCCTCAAAATCCAAATCGTCCACCTCATCCAGTAAATGTGGCGGTAGCGGCATATAAGGACCATTGTTCGCCGTCGAGCCAGATCCATTGCCGCTGTTTTCTGGTGGCTGACTGTCCTCGTCGGCCTCCTCCTCCTCGTCTATTAGTTGGCGCAACCTCTGCACCCGCTCGTCACACACTTCCACTGCCGGATGGTGTTCGTGGATGTGTTGATGTAGCTCCCGCATGCTATGCAATTCAGCCGCCTTCTCCTCCGACCCGCTCTTGCATAGTTGGCAAATAATGTAGGCGGCATGGGGCATATGCTTGAAGCGGTGCTGCTGCAGGACACACTTGCTTTTTGTAGCCAACTCTTCGTCGCAGTCGTTGCAGCGGTAGAGCCCCTCGCCCACCTTTCGAATGTGTAGCAGCTGCTTGCCCAGGCCGTGGGAGACGTTGAGGTGATTGCGCAATATCCCCTGGTTGCTGGTGGTGAAGTCGTCGCCGCACTGGGGGCACATCAGTCGATAGGCAGATGCTTCTGCGTCTGCATCTTCTGTGGAGGCATCGCCACACGTTTCGTGCTCCTCGTCGTCAAACTCCTTCTCGGCGTTGGGCTTGTTGTCGCACCGATTGGTGTCCCGATTCAGATGCTTGAAGAACATCTGCTTGCGGACAAACTCTCCGTTGCAGGTGAGACACTTGAAGGAGCGGTAGGGCAGATGGCGGAACTTGTGCGACTGCAGCTGCCCGATGGCGCCCTTGGTGTGAGTGACGGTGACACGCTTGTAGCACTCCAGGCACAAGTAATGGTGGATGTCAATCTGCCGGAAGTTCAGCCCCTCGCGGCTGTTAAAGTTGTGATGCTCCACGATGTGCTTGCGCCAGAAGGCGTGCGAGTCGAAGTTCTTGTTGCACTTGGGGCAGTAGTACGTGATGAAGTCCATGTCCACCGCATTGTGGTACGAGATGCTGTCCTCCAGGGTGTTTAGTCCGGCCGGCCGTGTGGGCCGCTTCTCGGACTGCGTCCAGAGCAGGCGACTGCCAACGCTGGAGCCAGAGGATGAGGCGACAACTGCAGGCGATGGTGCAGGTGACTTTGGTTGCCTGCTCTTGGCGACCGTATCCCTGTCCTTCTCCTTAGCCTGAACATACGAGTACTGCGGCTTGGTCTGTAGCTCCCGCCAGGGCGTCTCCCGCTCGTAGATGTTGTGCCGCGTCCTCAGATGGGCGGCAATGTTGGGCTTGTGGTTGTAGCAAGTGCCGCACACGAGGCACTTGAGGTACAGGCGGAAGGGCAGATGCCGGAAGTGGTGGTCCTGCAGGCCCTTCAACTTGGAGTTGCACACAATGTCGTTGCACTGGGTGCATTGGTAGCGGTACTTGTCCAGCTGCCGCATATTCAGATACTGCCTCTTGTCGAAGTTGTGGGCCTCGTTGATGTGGCGGCGCCACTCAAACTGTGTCTTGTACTCCTCGCCGCACGAGGGGCACAGGAATATGTAGTTCTCCTCCACGGTGCCCGCCGATGGGCCGCTTGTGGCCGCTGCTGCTGCTGATACTAATGCTTCGGCTGATCCTAGTCTCCTCTTCTTGAGTGCATCCTCCTTCCCCAGGTTTTTTTCCATCTTCTTCGGTGCTGCGTATGGAGGGGGATCCCGCAACGCATGTGCCTCGCTAATGTGCAATTTGAGAGCCACTTGGGTGGGGAACAACGTTCCGCATTCCACGCACTTGTAGCGATTTGGATTGGGCGGCAGCAGTCCCGCACTGACAGTGGGCAAGTCATCCTCATCCGGCATCTGCATCTGCTCTCCAAAGTCGTTCTCCTCGTCGACACTTGAGTGAACCTGCTCTTCGTCAAGGAAGATGATCTCGTAGGTCTCCTTTCCCAGGGTCACAATCTGTTTGCGCTGCTGCTTGGGCGACTCAAACAGCCGGACCCCTCGTCCGCCCATTTTGAAATTCTTGCGCGGCACGTAGCCTACACGATGGTAGGTGGCCAGATGCTTGACCAGACCCTTGCGATCCGTGTAGGACTTGTGGCACTTGCGGCACCTGGCGTACGCCTTGAATGGCAGGTGCGTAATCCTGTGCTGCTGGGCGTTCTGTATGCCGTAGGCGTTCGTTATGATCTTGGCGCACTCCGTGCACTTCAACTGCCGATCGTTGATGATCGCAAAGTTGAGCTTCGTCACATCGTTCATGCCGTGCACCTGCACCACGTGGGTGCGCCAGTGCTTCTTCTCGATGAACTCCTTGCCGCACTGCGGACACAGGTAGTCGATGTGTGGCTCGTAGATGTCATCGCTCCCGATGCGGCCTCCCCTTCGCGGAACATCTTCAAAATGCGACGAAACGTCATCGAAGGCGCTGGCGTTTCCATGGTCCTCCCAGTCGTCGCCACCGCGATCTGTCCTTTTCACGGGCGATGTATCCGGCGACTCCTCCGGCATCAGCGACTCCAGCTGGTGTTGCTTCAGCAGATGAGTGACTAGCTCGTGGTGTTCCCTGTAGCCCTTGTAGCACAGTTTACAGCGCAGCCACTCGGGCTGCGGCAGATGCGTAAACTTGTGGGCCCGCAGCGTCTTAATCGTGTTGGGGATGACAATCTGCAGAATGTAGCAACGTTAACATTTAAGTACTATGTAAATATCCAAGACTAAGCTCTCACTTTCTTGCATTCTAGGCACTGCATCTGCATGTCCACGCTGATGAAGTTGAGGCCCCTGCGGCTAACGTAGTCGTGGACAAACTCAATGTGCTGACTCCACTGGGCGTGGGTGTCACACTCAGTGCCGCAATCGGGGCACATGTAATGGATGTAGTCCTCGCAAAGATCCGCACTACCATCGCCAGAGAGACCTCCTTGGTTGCGCTTTTTGCGTCTCCTCTGCGGCGCCTCCCCCTCCATCATCTCCGGCTCGAGAATATCGTTTCGCTCATCATCCTCCTCGGGAAACGGGTCCTTGCGTTGCATTTGCTCTGTGCGTGGTTCCCTTACCCGCGTCTTGCGCCCCGCCAAGTTGAAGCCCTCCCGCATCATGGCCACCACTTCGTCGCAATGGACCATCCTCAGGTGGACCATGAGGTCTTGTCTGCAAGCAATTTCAGCATAGGTAAGCATCCTTCTAGGGTCTCGCTCTCTCTCTCTCTCCAGACTTACCTGTATTTGTACTCCCTTTTGCAGATGTAGCACTTGGTGCACCGAAACGGCAAATGGGTGAACTTGTGCTTCAGCAGGTTCTCCCGGCTGTGCATGGCGATGCGCTTATTGCACTCCAGGCACCGATGATAGAGCTTGTCCATGGCCATGAAGTTGAGGCCGCGGCGCGTGTTGAACTGGTGCATCTGGTTCATGTGACGTTTCCAGAGATCCTGCTGCCGGAATTCCTCCCCGCATGCTGGGCAGATGTAGATGACGCCCAGCTCATAGTTGATGGGAACCCCGTTCGCATCGGTTGCATTGATCTGCGAGGTGGTGGGCCGCGTGACCACTCCCGACAGTCGCACAGATGTTTCAGGTGGATCAGTAAGCGCCAGCTGCGGAGAAGGCTGTGACTCGCCAATGCTTACAATCGGCTCAAGATCGAAGTCAAATATGGTATCATCATCTAGATCGGGCTCTTTTGTTTTTCCATTACCACTGCCAGGCCTTACCTCTCCCTCCTCCTCTTCCTCATCATCGTCTTCCTCAGGCAGAATGTCATCACTGTCGCCGGCCAGATTGCTGTCCAGGCCGTTCTCATTTGCATATTGGTCGATCTCCTCCTCGTCCTCCTCCAAGTCTGCCGAGAACATTGATGTCCAAAGGTCCATTCCTTCCATACTTGGGAGGATTGTTGTCTGTCTGCACCAACAACTGTCTGCGGGTTTGTGTGTGTGTTCTGCTGCCGAGTGCGTGTGTGTTCGTATGCAAGTGGTTTGGGGGACCGGACGGGAACAGATTTTGTGGTTGTTAGAACTTCGTTTCGTGTCCTACGACGATTTTGGCTGCCGCTTTGAAGTATATCGAGGCCCCCGAGGCGTCAACATCTTAGCAGTCACGCATTTGCCACTTGGTGTGATTGCATTTCACTTTTTATATTGAAAAAATTCAAATTGTCGTGCAAAAATCACAGCCATTTTTTTGTTTGCGGCAGGGCCGCATCAGTGTTACCGTAGATTTATCTGACCCTCAGAAAAATACCTTCTTATTTTAAAAATATACAGCTAAAACGAGTAGACCGTTTGTGTGACCATAGACTCTCAACTTCATACAAGCGAAACGTGCATCTCGGAGTCCCAGGGCTCTGCCAAAGTCCCAGCTACAAGTATTAGTGCGTGTGGAACACGCAGCTAGAAGCCCCAGCTACATGTGTATTAGTACGTGTGGAGCACGCAGCTAGAAGCCCAAGCTACATTTGTATAAGTGCGTGTAGCCAATGATTTTTTAGCGCTCCAAACCGGGTTTGTCTTGATTCACACGGATACTGCAATGTAATGTATGTGTTGGTGGGCTGACTCTCTGAACTGCGATGTAACGAAAATTCGTTTGGATGATTTGATTTTGTTTTCAGGGCTTGGCGTATGAACCTGACCTGCCGCAACATGTTCAGAATGAGGGGTGGGGTTGGTGGCCGGACGCTTGGGGGTTGGAAAAAATAATTATACCAATTTGTTATTGTATATGAATGCTGTAATTGTTTTAAATGCAGATTTTATACTGGTTTATTCAAAATTATGAAAACGCCGTCGCTTCTCGACTTCGTTGCTGCCGTATTATCAACATTGTTACGAAATCCATATTTGACAAATCTTTTCAGATAAATATAAAAACATATAAATGTACACGCATACATATGTATTTACATACATACATACATCTTTCCAATTTCTATTCTCGTCGTCGGTTATGTTCTCGACTTCATGTGCGCTTTAATTGCTAGCGCTTGCAACCTTTTGCATTTTTTTTGTATTCTGAGCTCACATACCATTCAAATTCTCAAGACTTTATGAAGAAGCTTGCCCCTCAATATCATATTTATTTTGTGTGACCTTTATATGCTTTATATAATTTAGGATGAAAAGGGTAACGGATATAAACATCTGAATATGTATACAAATAATGAATTACGACAGTCAATTGTCAATTGCGTTGCATATATTTTCCATATTCAGAGTCACGGTAATAACAAGCAGGGAGTTTTGACGGAAGCAAGGAGGCTGCCTTGCACATGTACACACACATTAACACTTGCACATTTTCCTCCGACTCGCATCAGCAAATCGAGATTTGGACAACTGACTTGGAAACGTTTCCTTCTGTGCGTTATATACATCCGTTATTCCCCAAATATTGTATTTGAATATATATACTTACTTTGTGGGGTCAGAACGCTTCCTTCTGTGTGTTTTATTTTTTCCGCACCATTACAATTTACCCTATTTACTCTTCGAGTACCGGGTATAATAAAGTACCAGAAGAATGTTCGCCGCCAGCGAGGTTCGAATTTGCTTTTAGTATTTTTGTATGAACAAGGTTTGTGCGTCCACGGCAATGTAACAATTTGGTTTTTTGTATTCCCGGTACTCGAAAAGTAAATAGGGTATTTACCCTACAATTTTGTAGTGGTGCGGAAAAAATAAAACACGCAGAAGGAATCGTTCTTATCCCACAAAGTAAGTATATATATTCTTTATCAGTATCAATAGCCGAGTCGATAAAGCCATGTCTGTCTGTCCGTCCTTATGAGTGCAACCAAGTTTTTCATCCAGAATTTTGTATGCTCACACTGTTAGAAGTGTATTCGCCCCGCCCCCACAAAGGGCGAAAATCTGATGTGTACACACAGAACGGGGCGAGCATAAAGAGCGTGTTGGCGCACGAAGTGATGTAGAAAATGTAAATTGTCAAAAGTAAAATTGGAAAAAAAAAAAAAATACTAATACTTGAGTACCGTGTATAAAAGTTATTACGTTTAACACGCGTCTAACACGTCCCTTCTCGTTATTACAGATTTTGGCAATAAATGCTGCCCGCTCATATTCAAAAACGTTTTTGAAATGCACATTATGTACGAAAAGATTTTTATTGAACAAATATTCGGGTTCGAATTCGTATTTTTACACTTAATTAGTACGTGCACATTAGTACTTGCAATCGTACTGTTAAATTACATATGTAATATGTACGTAATGTATATTATGTACGAGTATGTATTGGGTGTATGGTTGTGAGGGGGGGTGATGGTGAGTCAGTTGGTATAAATATTTTTTAGATGTGTCGTGGCGTGTATTACATTGATGCAACTATAATTAAGGGTGTCCCACGTGCCGCCGCACGTGTTCAATTGGAGTCCAGCAGTCCCCATCACCCCGAATCCACGAGGATCTCTCCATTGCAGCAGGGCAGGGCTCTTGTGGTACACAAAATTCAAAGTAGATTAAAAAATGTATGCTTGTGGAGTAATGCAAAAGTGCTGGCTGATTGGTTAGGTGTGTTCTGTGAGCTTTGATGCTTCACTTCAGCTCTCAACCATCTCCTCAATGGGGATGGGGGTTGGGGTTTGCTGTGCTGAACGATTTGAGCAAATATTTTGTGTTCGTTTTGGTTTTTTGTATTCTGCTCTTTCTGCTGCCAGAGCTTCATTTCCAGCCTGCTGATGGTAGGTGCTGTGGCTGCAAGTGGCTTTGCTCCACGTGTGGTTCTGCATTGTTTTGCAATGGATTGGATTGGGTTGTTTGGTTATTCGTATATATCATGTAAAGGGGGTAGTGGGTAGTAGAACTGTGTTTTGTTGTCGCTTGTTTCTCTTCTGGTGTCGCTTGTTTTTTTGGCCCATGTCGCTCTCTTATACTGGGACTTGGGCAGCGTCCCTTTCCATTACCAGAGTCCCGACGAGTAGCCGCCCGGGGGCACACGGTTCTTGTTGACCACCGAATTGCCACCATTGCCATTGTTACCGCCGTTGCTGCCGCCATTGGTCGAGCCGGCGGCCTGGATGTAGTCCGTTCCACCGGGCCTGTATCCCTCACCGGTCACGGGATTTCCCTCTGTTGAATAGAGAACAAAGAAAATGCGGATTAGTAGAGTCTCAAAATGGATGTTTGTAGTGAGACACTAAGCTGAGCCTGAGCTACTGATCTACTTTTACAAGCTAAGAGATCGCTCGGGTGGAGTAAAAGTGTGAGGTGTAGGTGTAGGAGCTCGACCTCGAATCTTCTGCTTCACGGGCTTTAGGCCACCCACGCCATCCCCGTTGAGGCCCAGACCCGTGATAGGATTGCGTGCGTTGCACGGATCATTCGCCTCCTTCCCATAGTCCGGGCAGAGGGACAGGGGCTCCTTAAGATCTGGTTCGTTGTGCATCTTGTCAAGAGAGTGTGGCTGCTTCACGTTGCTTCCAGAGTCTTGACGCGACTGCATGAGGACGTCGCGCTTTCCAGACTCCATATAGATCTCGTTGTCCTTTGGCACGTCTCCCACTTCAAGGTCCAGGCACGGCTGGTCGATGTCAAGAACTTCAGGACACTCCTTACTGATTGCTTGCGTATTTTGTTTAGATTCTGCGATTTCTTCAGCTCCTAATGGCAGGCGGACGGGTGAAGGGGATGAAGGATGCCAATATGCAGGAGGGATGCAGGCAGGACAGGGCATTACAACTGCTACTAATACTCACTGCTCATATTGCGAATGAAGACTGTTGCAGGATGCCAGAATAAACGACAACCGATGATTTAACCAGGAATTCGTTGTTTCGATTCGGGGGGCGAGAATTTATTTTGTTTTTCGTGTGACAGACCGAAACGTATAAGAAAATATAAATCAGAATTTTTACTTATACTTCACAGACTTTTTTCACGCTACAAAATAACGAAATAATCAGAGCATAACTCCACTTCGTTGCCTCGTGTGAGACTGAACCCAAACACCCACAAATGTAGGCTCAAACTCTTGACATATGGAAACTTTGATCTCAGTGTCTACTTTTCTAGTTATATTTGTTGAATTTTGTACTTGAAAGTGTATCATTACCTGATCGGGAGCCACTGTTCATCTTGAGGTTCTCCGTCGAGGACGAGACTGACGACGAGGCCGAAGACACGGATCCGCTCTTTCCGTTATAGTGGCCATTGGCGGTGGCTCCGTTGGTGGCGCTGCTGCCATTGGTCAGCAGCTTCTGGGCAGCGGCAGTCTCTGTGTTCTGGCCAAAGGGAATGCTGCTCTTCATGTGGTTCTTGCCAGGTGTGATGGGACGCATGGGCTCCCCAAAGAGTCGAGAGTGTGAGTCGATAGTCTTCTGACCGCGACGCGGATTATCACCTATTGTAGTACATCATCATCGAAAGCATCATCAAAACGGAATAAAAACGAACGGAAAGAGGAAAACCAAAAGAAACAAAAGATATTGAAATTAGTGGATTGTTTTTGTTGTTGTCGTTGTTCGTGGTGGTGTTGTTGAGAGAGCAGTTAAGACTGTTTTGATTGTTCTAAAAGCATAGAGAAACAGATAGGTACGGACGGAGGTGCGAGAGTGGACAACAGTGGATTAGTGTATAAGTGGGTGAGTGGAGTGAATGGATTGCCTTGAGTGGTTCGTTCTTCGTGGCTCGCCTCTACATAGTATCTGAATGCATTCAAAATGTCATCACAAGATTGGAGAAGGCTGAGTTGGAGGTGGCGTGTGGTCGAGTGTGGGAAACTGGTTTGCAGTGTGGCAGAGATGATCTCTACTCTGGGGGATTGTGTATTGTGGTTTATGGATTACAGGTGGAAAGGCTGTTCAGTGGGGTTTACATAGGTCTAATGGGTGCTCCAACGGAGGAAACTTGCATTTTGGTATACTTGAAATTAGCAACGAAATGTACAATAATAACAGAAAGGAATGAGTGTGTGATTCATACAACAAATAACAATACGAGTATATTCTCAAGTACCAATGAAATAGAATCTGTGAGCTCCTTGTCGTACTGCAAAGATACGTAGAAAAGAAAAGAAGAGAAAACAGTAGAGCGGGGAGGAAAAGAAGGAGAGGGGAGAACAAGAACAAGAAAACGATAGACATTTCAATAAGCATCTCCAAGGGGATTCACAAAAAGCAAAGGAAAAAGCACAAATAAATAAGATAAGCCTTTCCGGGGGGACACTGGACATGGCAAATGGATGGGAAAAACATCTATTTGGAGGAGAGTGGGGATCTCGGGACCTCTGGGCTTTCCATCTCCTGCCCTCTGCTTACCGGTATTCTTTACGCTATTATCCTTTTCGACGGAGAATATGTTGGAAACCATGCGGTTCTTCACGTTCCTGGGCGTCTGCGGCATATCCGAGCCGAAGATGTCGCTGGAACCGCCGCCTGGAGGCCTCAGCACCCTGCAAAAACAAGAAAAATGCATCAATTATGAGCACATTCTATGGATATTACCGAGAGAGCGAACCGCGAGCGCAGTAATTGTTATGCCACAGAGCATAAAGTGCACAAATTTGCACGCTCTCTGCTTTCGGGCAGTGGAAAATAAAATAATGGGACGAGAAGATAGCAACGTGGAGGGGCGGGTTCTGCGCATTGCACTTAATGGTGTGTCTAACCGCCATCTCATAGCTGGAGCTGTTGCCGTGGCTGGATGAGCACTCAATGGGCATTAGAAGTCACGCCAAGATGCATCTCTCTCTGTCTCGCTGTTGCAAGCTGCATCGCAATTAAGGGGAAAGAATTGCATCGCCACAATGTTATGCTTTGTGGCATTCACACAATTCCAGCCCATCCATGTTAGCTGTGGTCCAAGCAACACTGCCCAATGCCAATACCCAAGTGCAGTCTTTGACTTTCCCCCCATCAACGCAATGATTTGTGCTCCTTTGACTGTATTTTCATGTATTATTTAAGATAGTCATGAGTTAGTTTAGTTCAGTTGCCAAATAAATAAGTGTTAATTATTCAATTCTAATGATTTTGGGAGATAAAAAACCCCATATATTGTATGTAATTGCTGTGATGAAATTGTTAATCGTGCGAGCGTGCCTAACGTGCTTTTACCGTTGTTAGGTAGGCTCACTGATGTCTATCGGGGGGATACATATCTGTGCGATATATCTGTGAATGCATTTTAACAGCCGCCAGCGCCCAGCGGCAAACGTCAATAAAACGCTGCCACAGCCGCAGCAGCAGTCAAGACTGACTGTAGATGCTACTACCGACTGTGCTGGCTGTGCGCTGTGGCATGCCCCCTCTGCCACTGAAAGCCAAAGACCATTCACTTGTCAACATTTGCTTGGTCAGTCGTCGCATACCCCGATAACTGCAGTGGGCTGTAGTGCTGGGGCCTACGTACGTACGCCGCCTTCCTCGAGGCGTCAATCAAATCATCGGAGCTTTCAGAAAGCTGCAAAGCCGTCCATCCATTCATCTATCCGCACTCCACCGCAGGAAAGTGAGAGTAACGTTTTCTCGTCTTAGGAGGTAATTAACCAAAATTGCATTGTAATTACTGTCGATTACTGCAGCTTACGTCGATACTTAGGGATCGCCGCAAGAAAATGAAGAAGCTGGCGAATGGCAGAAATGTAACAACCAAGCAGCACGCAGCAATGTAATAGTAATTCCGAAAATGGACACGAAAGAAAGGTAGAGATACCCCTGGAGACCCTGAAGACGGGGATCTGATTGAGTGCTGGTAATTCAATCAAATGAATGATCCATGATTATGCAGAAACATATTAAAAATACGAATTTGTAATGTGGTCGATTGGCAGCGTACGCAGCGTATAAAGCTCTTAATTAATTTACTGGAAAGCTTTCCAAGCTGAGAGAGAAGATGGCGGGCGCATGGTGAAATTACCAATGGGTGACGGATTCACCACAGTGCCTTCTCATTCGAGGAACACCAGGTGAAATCATGGTGAAATTACTAATAAACGTTTGCTATCTCTCTCTAGCGCTTGCCTCTCTGAGAGCTGAGAGAGCGTGGTGTATAAGCACGTGTTCCTCCACTCAGCTGACGACGTTACCTATTAGTAATTCTACCATGGGCGGGCGCACGCCTCTTCCTGTCTTTCTGCCTGATGAAAAAAGTGCAACCCAATTGCTGGGCTCCCGGAAGAAAGCATGGCGTCGTGGCCGCGCCTAATTAATTATACAGCCACTGCTACGCTTATTCCTCATTGTTTTCTCTTCCCTGTAACTAAAATAAGTAGATGCGGGAAAGGGAGGGAGCGAGTGCTAAACATGACAAAGCGTCAAAGCGCAAGCCGCAAAAGGAAAAATCACCGTTAAGTGTTTGCTGTCGCAGCAGCAACAGCACTTGACGCTTTCATGTGTGAGAACTGCTTATCAAGAGAGAGAGAGAGAGAGAGAGGGAGGGAGAGTATGAGCGTATGAAGTATGATAATAAGAAGAAAAGGGATCGCGTGAAAGCGGCCACTGCAGGACCTTTGCACATACAAATCGGAATGTACATATGTAGATATCACCTTTCATTTAACATATTTATGTATGTATGTATGTATTTTTTATAACTTTTATGTACAGGTGAGGTGTGTGCAGTGGTGTGGTGGGAATCAGAAGCAGAGCAGCCGAGTTCGGCTCGAGTTGGTGTGTGGGGTAATTGGGTTCATAACTGTCACACACCCCTCCCTTCCCCGACCAACGCATCCACAAAGTGTTCTTATTAAATTGTCTTCAAGCTGCTTGTTAGGACTGGCAGCGGAGCGTGAACACCTCTTCTCTTTCCAGACAAAAGACTTGTTTTTAATTATTTTCTTTTTTTGGCCAGAGAAAAACTAACAGAGCAACGGTAAACGGGCAATTTTTGCGCAAGTGACGAACAAGTAATAATTATTAAAACAGTTAAACCACCGCGCGGCCAGAGACTCCGACTGCGACTCCGCTCCGACTCCACACTCTCATGTCACATGCAACATGCATTGTACGAGTACAAGTACTTGTACTTTACCTGGCGACCTGTGGCTTTGTGTCTCTTGTGGCGGCCCGATCGAGTGGAAAGCGAAAGTTGCTGCTGCTGCCGCCACATATGAATGTACGTCATCAGCATGCCTTATGCCCCATGCCCCAGTGCACCATGATCACCATGATCATGCCTATTGCTAATAAACGTCTGCTGCTGGCGGAGAGTGAGAGATATGCCGACTATCCTAATGGCCTCCAACTGAACTGGTTTTATGGTTTATGGTGACTAATTACCAGCCACAAATCCAGCAATCCCCCAGTGAAGAAAGGTTCAAGCCACTTGACTCACGTCTTCTTTTTCTTATGACCTCTTTCATACTCACACATATCATAGTTTTGTGTCTGTTCTATCGCTGAAAGTGGCACGGAGTGTCTGGCTTCCGATTACCACTTCTTTGGCTTCTCCCTAGGGACCCATCCAATTGTAATTCTTTTTTAACCCACTTGCTGCTAATTTTTCCCGGGGGGTATCAAAGCATTTTCCTTTCAATTCACCTGAATCGAATGGAAAATGAAAAAACGTCCTGAATGGCCGTTCCCTATTGCCCCCTGGTAAGGTAAAGTGATCTTGGCTGAGAAAAACCTTTCACACACACACAAAGAGCCCGGGGGGGCACTGCGACAAAACCTGACCGCTTGCCAGGTGGAGGCCTCCGAGGCCGAGTCCCGCCTGGGAGTTCAGTGCAGGTGGCTCTGGCTCCAAAGTGGAAGAGTAGTCCGAAGAGTGGCCTATCCTATCCTGTGGCTTTATCTGGGGTTCGGTGATGACAAAAATTAATGTATATCGACAATAGCATAAGAAAGAGGTGGCCAGCAGAAGGATGGGGCACGAGGCACGGGGCACTGAGGCTAGGCGAAAGGTAGGTAATGTTGGCAGCAGCTGGGAGTAAATTTGAAAACAACCTTTTCGGGTAAAAGTTGTTCGTGGCTTCGATGTTTATTCCCGCACAAAATACTCGACTCAAAGTGATAGTTGTCGCTCTGATTTAGTTTTAGTTAAACTCTTAGTTTAGTCGCACAGTTTGCTGGCTGGCTTTCTGCATTCTCTATCTCTCTCTCTCTCTCTACTTCCACGGCTTTAGGGTATTTTTTCTCTTTCCTTTCATTCCTTAACTGCTGTGCTGTGATAATTGTTTCCACATACACATACATCTATCGGTGGCTTTCGCAAAACGCCAAAAAGCCTTTCCACCAATTAATTATTACACCAAGGGGCGGGCCCCACAAGTCCAAGTTCAACACATTTCGACATCACTTCCACATTTTTCGATACACAATTTTATGATTACACAAAAACACACATTATGAAATTTAATTAACTTTCTATTGAGCGAAAAAGCCAGACTATGTTGGTTGCAATGTTTCATCAGATGCGATGCCCCTGCACCGCTTACAGATCTTTGAAACAGCTTTCTTGCAGGATATTTCCACCGATTCCTTCTCTTATTTCCATTAAAGACTACTCCGTAGAGAGGTATCTTTCTCCTCCTCCTCCTAATCTTCTCTCCTTCTTCATAGACGTCAGTGACGAAAATTCATTACGACAGTTTTCTAATTAACAAAATGTCAAAAATGAATTTGAGATCACACACTAACGAGTGTAAAAGTGGAAATCTCTTCTCTTACTTCTTGTCTCAGTCTCAGTCTTAAACTTTTTCGTGTATTGACAGCATGTGGGAAAGCAAGTCCACGAATTGGAACTGCATTTGGAGCAAAGTGGCTGCAATAAGAAGCTTATGGCTTATGTCTCGGAGATTCCATTGGCAAGAAAAGTTTCAATTTCATTATGAAAATCCTCGTCCGTCCGTCCGTCTTGCTGTCATCGAGGGCTTCTGCTGCGAGCGATGAAAATACAAGAGAAGAGAAGAGAAGACAAGACAAGTCTCTGAGGAGTAGTAGATGGAAGTCGGGCGGCTCAAAAGCTAATTTGTTTTTCGGATAATGCCTGACCAAAGCAGCGAAGGGGAGTGCCAGGGCCAGTACGAGTGAGTGCCACAGACAGGGGCATGTCTGTCGGACAGAGGCTGGGCGGATGCCTGCCTCATGTCGTTTTATAATGAAGTTGCCGCCGTTGAGGTGCAACAGGGGAAAAGCACATGCAACTTGATTAATTGCAATTGATTTTTATGACTTTGTTTGGACTGTGTCTTTGTTTGCCAACTGTGAGACTTCGGAGTTGGAGTTCATTGGGAATATGCTACAGAGAGAAAGGTTGTTGTGGGTTTTTCCTAACATTAAAGGGTCAGCACTGACAGATTTTCACTGGGAATGGAATGCCCCTCTAAACTCCACTCCACTCCTCTGACCAATCATGCAATAAAAATCCACAATTTACTGTCCATCGTCAGTCCATCGAGGCAGGGAGAGTTTAGCTTTTATGATTAGTCCATAAACCATGAGGCAAGGCATCAACAGTAGCAGCAGCAGCAGCGTCATGCTGCAGTGCACCTGTACATCGGAGAGGCAGCATTCGCATCCACTGTCCACTCCAGTAGGTTGTTCCACTTGATTCGGTATTCACTCTGCCGCTGCAGCTCCATCCAGATGTCCGGGTAATTGTTTAGAGTTCCTCTCTCTCTCCGTCTTTCTCTCTCTCTGTTTTACTATGGCTCCCTAGAGTACTTCTGCTCCTCTGCTTCTCTTTTGTTTGCTGCTCATTAATAATTTTTTTATTTTTTTTGGGCTTGTTCAGCCTTATGAACAGCGAGCGCTTTGCTGCCACTGCCACTGCCACTTCCACACTGCTGATTCATTTTGTTTCATTGGAAACGTGTCCAGAGTCCAGTGCATAGTACCCTCCTCATCTGCAGACAGAGGTTCGTGCAACCGCAAACAAACACACACACACACACACACCCCAAACATAATGAAAACTCAACTGAAGCACGAAAATTTTGTGCGGTTTTCCGCTATTGTTGTTGTGATGATGTTGTGATTATTGTCTCTCCCTCCCCTCCCCCACCATTCCATTTTTGTGATTTACCTAAAAACGTTGATTAGTCCAACAGTCCACCAATCCATTATAATTGTTGCTGCTTTCAAAAGCAAAGCAAAGCAGAAATATTTTATATTGAAGAATCTGCTACCATACTCGCTCGTACTTTCCCCAGAAAGTATGGGCATGCTGAAGGACGGGGGAGTGGCAGGCGATCGCTCAAGCGCGGTTTGTTTACCGTTACATTTCCACCAATCAAAAGCTCTTTTCAGAAAACTAATCATCTGTGCCATTAGGATGAATCATCATTAAATATATATGGGATACAGAGAACAACCACAGATATGATCCATAGGTGGCATGAGAGAGGGGAATATCAATCAAAGAGATAAATAACTTGAATCGGTAGATAAGCTTCGGCTGGTCTTATCCAATTCAAATGAATGTAAGACATTGCCAGTGGCACTTAATTATTCCTCTGACACTTCCCAGAGGAAGAAAGCCATCAGTCAATTCAAATTTGAATGTCACTCCAGTCCTTCCCGTCTCTGGCATCAGTTTCTGGCCACTTATTTCCATGGAAAGTGCCCGCTCTGTCAGCAGGAGGGAGGAGCGTGATGCAGCTCTGAAGATGCCACAGCGGGTGGTGTTCCTGTGAGGTGTTTGAATCCCGCTAGCTCACCGGGCAATTGGAATCTGATGAAAATTCATAATTGGACTCAGAGTTGGAGTTACCGTTTTCCATGTTTGTTTCCATGGAAATATGCTTCTCTAAGCCCCCGATAGATTGTCAATTATCGATAGTGTTTGCCTGAGCCTGATGCCTGATGAATAATTATCGATTAGCGCGCTGTGGCAAAGGAAAGTGTGTGATCAAGAGGAAAAGTTGCAGCAGCAGTCTCACAGCCACATGCATGTTGTTTGCTGCAAGCGTATGGTTGTGTGCATATGTAGCTTTGTGGCACTTTTATTATTATTATGTATATGCGTATGCATAAGCTGTGGGATTGGCATTGCCGCTGTCGCTGGCTTTGGATCTGTAAATTGTAGAGCCTATAACCATATCCACTGCCAGAATTGCAGCAGCGAAAGTTGTCTGTCTGTCTCTGCTTTATACATACACATATGTAATTAATAAATCTGTATTGATTAATTTGCAACGGGAGAAGCTTTGGCCATGCGAAAGCGAAAGGACTTTCTAATATATTCCATTCCATGCGGGTACTGCTCCTCCCGATAACAATCCTCTGTCAATGGGCACTAGGCACCAGGAGGCACTGTAAGTGTCTGTATCTAAATGGATATAACATATACCTATATTTTTATCATATACATATTTAACGTTGCTAAGGAAACTCCACAAGCTGCCAAACTTATTTCCGTGTCAACAGGAATTACATTGACGCAGGCAAAAAAAAAACATCAACCAACCAACAACTAAAATTTCTTTGATTTCCTTTTCGGCCTCCATCAATGGGTCATGTGGGGGGAGTGTGGCCCACGAAAATGTCTTGACTTTACTTCATGTAAATCACTTTTGCAAATATTTACATACATAAATTTTGACGTAGCAACGCAGAAAGCACATTTATTAGTCTGTATATTTGGTACTTGTGATTTATTTGCGAAATTTCTTCTTCGAAGAATGGGGTTACCTTCGTGGGCGCTGTAAAATAATTAATATCAACATGATACTGTACATTGTACAAAGTAATTCAAGCGTATAATTATTGCTACAATGCCAGAGACAATGCCATAAACCAATGAATGAACTGTCATGATTTCCGCCACTCATACAACCCCACACCCAACACCCCACAGACAATCAAAGGGGGGCCAAAACCCAATCCCAATCCGAGACACAACTCAATCTCCAAGCCTGCAGTCGCAGTCGTACCTTGGAATTTAATTTAAACTAAACACTTTACAATATAATAGGTCGAGAGAAGGAAACAAATATCAATGGATGGATGAATGGAGAGAAGGAAAGGAAAATAGTATATTAATTATTTTCACACACACAGCGGGAAAGTCAGTCATGGAAAATCAAAGAGACGCAATCGTAATCAATGACAATGATTAACACATTTCCATGGACCATAAAAACGAAAAGTCTCTAGCAAATTGTTTTTAATGCACATGGCATACATCCATCTACAATATATGAACACGGAAAATTATTTAGAGACCAGCACTAATCTGTAAACGACGCGCTTGCCTGCAAAATGGAGAGGGTTCAATGTACGACGGACAGTCGAACGTACAGCGGACAGTGAACGGACAGAGAACGAACAGCAGGAAACGAGCAGGGAACGGTAGTAAGCGGAACCTCGGACATAAGCGGGGCATAAAGAGGCATTTTTGTAACGATTTTTGTACCAGTCGAAAGGCAATGGCCATCTATCCACCTTGTACCGTACCGTACCCTACCCATAGGCGGCACACCTCCTCTTCCAGTCATCCTCCATTCCTCCAGTGATGGGTGGGATGGGTGGTGCCACGGGAAGGGGCTTGGGCAAAGAGAATTGCATGCTAAAACAAAGGAAAGACCGAAACCCACAAAAAAGAAAGGTGCGCTCAGCTATAGTGTCAGTCGATGCATGTAATACCCTTCTCTTTAAAAAGCCATATTCAAATAATATTTCTGATTAATTTTGAAGGTATGTAAATCAAGTAGTTTTATCCTCCTTTGAGAAACTCAAAGAAGGAGCTTTTCATTGTACGCTTTCTTTCGAGTTCTGAAAGCCCTGCCATACCCTATCTCTTTTAGGTATCCCAAAAGAATGCCGACCACTTTAACTTTTGTATGGCGATGGGAATGAAGTGGGGCGAAGCGGTAAGATAAGGAGTCGAGCGTGGGGCAGGTGGCAAGCGGCAAGAGGCGGAAAATCAATGAGACATCTAAAGACCGCCACCAGCTGTCTGTGCACTGGTTGGGTGGTTCGGTGGCGTTGGGTGGTGGGAATTAGGCGCCCCTTACAAAAGTGGGTTCTCTTCACGGATTACACATACGCCAGCCAGCCAAACGTACGTGTTGTTGATATTTTTGCTGTTGTGTTTGCTGGTTAGTTACTTAGTAAGATAGGTGAATGCACGCTAAATTAATCTCAGCGGCACACACGCGGATAGATACATGCATGCATATTCATACACACACACACACACACACACACACACACACACATGCAGATGTGTTTGCTTGGACCGCGAGATGCAGTTTAAACAATGATGAGAAGGAGGATGATGGAAGATATCTGACATCATTCAGATATAAGCAAAGTGCACTTTGAACAAACAATACAACAATACGACATTCTGGATTCCCGAAAGCTCTTCTCTTCTCTTCGCTTACCTTTTCTTGGCTTTGCCCACGTTGTAAAGCTCGACGTGTTTGAATGCAGCATACGCGGCCATTGCTGATTAAATGTGGTAGGGTGTAGGTGGGTGAACAGAGAGATAATTCGAGTTTCCTTTTTCTTTTTTCAGGAGAAGAGCCTGCGCTTGCAACTGCTCTATTTTTGTGGACCACAAAATATCTAAACGAACAAAGGAGAAGGACGGGTGGTTAGAGGGATGCTGGGCGAAGGGGAAAATGTTGCAGCGATGACTCATGGACTCATCTACTCATGGGGATGCTGCCAGTGCCAGTGCGTAAAATCAATAAAATCGCGTATCACGTACACAAAAGGACTGAAGGAATGTGCAAGGGAGTCTGTGCACAGACGCAGCAGCACCCAAAAAGAGCGTGGGGCAGGACTGGGTAAACTCGACGAGAAAGCGAGAGGAAGACGAAACGGAAGTTAGATAAGATGATTCAGCAGCAGGACACAGCAGCAGCAGCAGTCGCAGAATGTTGCAACATTTTCCCCACCCACAGTCCCCGTTGCAGAGGGGGGGGGGGGCACTATTTTCTTCACTTACAAAGTAAGGCTCCAACTTTGGAAACACACAACGCGCGACACGGGAACAACAAATTTTCGGTTCAAAGGATATGAGGAACTGGAAATGTGTTCGGGTTTTCGGGTTTTGACGCTTGTCTCAGATTCACGGATTCTCGATTTCTGCTGCTGATGTGAACGGCTCGGTCTTAGTTTGCGATTTAAAGTGCATTCGGAAAAGTGAAAAGCATTTTATACCCCAGCAGCAGAGGCCGGAGCAGCGAGCAGCGGCAGCGAGAAGTTTTATCGATCCAAAAACAACGACCAACCAACACTCGCTCCCAGAGAGCGTACAAACAATGGAGAGAGAGAGGAAGAGAGAGAGAGGCAGCGCCGGCTCCCCAGCGCAGAGTATATCAAGGTAAAGATGAGGCATACCGATACGAACTGTGGCCAGTTTTTGCGCTCTCCAGAGCGGCCTCTGGAAATACCTCACCCTGTATTAGCACACCCTGCGCCAGCCACATGCTTGGGGCTCATCAAAACAAAAACAAACTACAGCTGATTGGAGTTGGGTCTCTTTCTCTCTCTCTCTCTATCGCTCTTTCAGGTGTTCTCTGTTGCGCACGGCACACGGCTCTCTTCACCACAGACAACACACCTCACTTCCCCACACTGCTGTTGTAGGTCACAGAAGAAGAACTCAAGCTTAAACTCCAAATAAGTTGTGGCCCCAAACCGCAGCTCTTGAACACTTGCGGGATTAACATTTCGCCTGGTTATACCCGGTACTCGAAGAGTAAATAGGGTATATTGTATTTGTGGGGAATAACGATTGTATGTAACGCACAGAAGGAAACGTTTCCGACCCCATAAAGTATATATATTCTTGATCAGATACAATAGCCGAGTCGATTGAGCCATGTATGTCCGTCCGTCAGTCCGTCCTTATGAGCGACTGGATCTCATAGACTATAAAAGTTAGCCACCAAATTTTGCATCCAGACTTCTGTATGTTCACACTGTTACAAGTGTATTTCAAAAATGAGCCACGTCCCCTTCGGCCACCGAAAAAGGGCGAAAACCTCCAAAATCTACAATTTTGAAGATAAAAGAAACCTATAAACGCCATTCCGTAGGAAATGACCATATCTATCAGACCAAAAAAGTGGGATCCTATGGGATCATTATTATAGCCAGAATGAAAAAATTAATTTGCAGTGGCTAAACCCACCCCGTCCCGCAGCTTATATATGTTTTTTGCAGTGGGCGGCCTCTGCCTCTGCCATGACTCCGCAGTGTTTTGGTCTAGAGGAGGGAGGCGAGCTAAAGGAGCTTGTTGGCGTGAGAAGTGTTGTAGATGTAGATGACAGATGAAGAAAAAATGTAAAATATGACAAATAACCGCTAAGGTACAGATGTAGTACTGAGTGCCGGGTATAAAAGTTGTGACGCGTAGGAAGCATCTCACACGTCCCTTCTCGTTTTGAATACATATGTGTGTATAAGAATATATGCGCAGATATGCTTCAGTTCAGCTCTTCCACTGGCAAAATATGCGGAGAGAAAAACCCAAGCAGCAGCAAAAGAAACAGTTCAGGTCTAGTGAACTTTCAGGGTTCCCCTATGCAACTGTTTTCCTCCTTCTCTCATTTACTGCATTTGGCAGTAAGAGCGGTACTCAAGATGCTGCTTTTTGTCGACCATAAATCACTTTCATCATCACCGAGGATCGTGGGGTCAGGGGCCGGAAAACTCTATTTTCAAGTGTCTTTGCCCTAATGAGGCCGTTGCAAGCAGCAGAGTCCAAATGCAAAATGTATTTTCATACTTCTTCGTTTTCCTCGTTTCTTGGAACACAACATTTGGCACACAGGCAGCAGAACAGGAAGCCAGAAAGCAGCGACCGACGATCGACGACCGACAACTGACGACCGCCGACTAGAGGGGTAATGGAGGTTATTTTTAGCTTTTTGGTAGGGAAAACCAGAGGAATAGTTGACTGGCCGTCGACTCCAACCCAGTGACTGCACCGACTGCAACCTGACACCAGCCACGCCACTTGCTCTTCCATCTCACACTCCCCACCACCGTCTGTCCCCAGTGTCCTCGCTTCTGTCAGCACAAGCACCAGTAAAAGCCTAGGCGTAATGCACTTGCAACGTGGCAAAGACAATCTTACTCCATGCGGTTAAAAATAGGCTGGAAGACCTAGTGACTACTCCCACTCTCCCTGGGCTTCCACGACATCCTGGGCCACGTACTGTACTGTGGGCAAAGAACCGACCAGAAAAGTGTGTAGTCCAGAGATGCTGAGAGTGTCGCTTTCTTTTTTGAGTTCGAGTGTAAAGTGCAATGGAACATACATACATTCCTCTCCTTTTGCCACATACATTTGAGCACACACTCTCCTCTCTTTCTTTCGAGTGTATTGGCGTGTGTGGTGTGTGTCTAATCTCATCGACAGCGTCTGCTGCTGCTGCTGCTCCTTCCCTTCTTCTGGCTTGTGGCATGTGGCCGTTGACTAGTTAAAACATCATGCAACACAGCATTGGAGTGGGCCTACATGAAGGAGGGGTACCGTACGTGGACAGCGGCATCTGACAATTGAAGTGAACGAGGCAGCCTATACGGCAAACCTTATAATGTGATTGTAAACCCAGCGCATTGACACTTTGGCTCTTCGAGCCAATACTTCATGGAGAGCCATGAAAAACGAGAAGGGAAGTGTGAGACGCTTCTTACGCGTCACAACTTTTATACCCGGCACTCAGTACTACATCTGCACCTTAGTGGTGTTTTGTTAAATTTAAAATTTTTTCTTCATCTGTCATCTACATCTGCAACACTTCTCACACCAACACGCTCCTTTAGCTTGCCGGGCTTCCCTAGACCCACACACTGCAGACTCGCGGCAGAGGCAGAGGCCGAAGCAGAGTGTGAATGAGAGGAAATAAACAAATATAAGCTGCGGGGACAGGGTGGGTTTAGCCATTGCAAATTAATTTATTCATTGGGGCCATAATAATGATCCAATCGGATCCTAATTTGGTGAGTTGATAGATTTGGTCATTCCCTACGGAATGGCGTTTTTAGTTTTCTGTTATCTTCAAAATTTGAGCTTTCGTTTTCGCCCTTTTGCAAGGGCGGAAGGGGGCGGATCTCATTTTTGAAATTCGCTGGTTTCAGTGTGAGCATACAGCAGTCTGGAGCCAACCGTTATTCGCACAAATACAATATACCCTATTTACTCTTCGAGTACCGGGTATAAAAAAGCCCCAAGCGATGCACCGTGTAACAGCAAATACTGCGAATATTTAAGTCAATAAATAATTTCACTGCATAAAGTGAAATTTCCGGGGCTGCCTGCTGCCCTGCACCACAGGCCCAGCCCCCTGCTGCATAATTACCAACCCAACTAACGGCAGTTCCAATGGCAATGGTCTCGGTCTCCCTTCCGTACGTGCTTAACATATGAACAAGAATTTGTGACATTCGGAAACGCATTTTCCATTGCCATATTTATTAGCAACTTTGGTTAATTATAATTATGGTTAGGCATTAAGTTCACTTTTATTAAGCGTACCCACTGCTGATGGCTAACATCTGTGACTGTATTTGAGATGAGAGCAAAGAGAACGAAAGATAACGACAAGACAAGTGAGTAGGCAATGCAGTTGAATGAAGAGAATGAGAGAGAGAGCAGAGGCTAGAAATAGTTCGTTCGTTTCTCTTCGATATAGGAGAAATTGGCATTACAAGGTGAATTTACTGTCCGCTTTTAGAAGGATCAATAACTTATTCTCCACGATCATTCCTGTGGTGAAGACGTCACCTTGTTGGAATCTGTGTAATTGTGACATGGCGGAGAGCAGGATGCTCTCTCAACAGTATAACAGTCTATGAATGCACTTGGGGCTCGTTTTTTTACGCTAGCCAAAAATTATAGAGTGCGAGTGGAGTGGAGTGCGGAGTGCTCCCCATATGAGTATTCACTTTTTCAGTTTTCTCTGAGGCATGGAAGGCAGGCAGGCAGGCCATTGACTGACCAGCAGAAAAGCGGTCTTTAAAGCGGAGATTAAATGGAGTAATTAGGAAAACGTGCAGTGCAAACGGACAAAGAAGGAAAGTAGGGGAAAGAGGAGCAGCAGCAGAAGCACAAACCAAACCATCAAAACCATCAAAATGCTACTTTCGGTCAGAAAGGTGAGCGGTGTGCCCAATGCCATTTAGTTTTGACCAACAACTTACTTTGGCTTTCCTTTCCGCCGCTACGATGCTGCTGCTGGGAAATTAATCTTTTTCTTTTTTTGTTTTCCGGACAGAGTTTATCATATGATTAAGGCATTAGCCTCGGCCCAGGGGCCACGAAACTAAATCAACAGAAATCTGAGACAGGAAAATGATCAGGGGAAATGCATCATGAAAAACAGTTTAATCAATCTCCATCTTTCTCTCAGAGAGACAGAGAGTGAGAGCTGCTGCTGCTCTCTTTCCTCTTGAGAGTAGAACATCGAATGTAATGATCAACACCATCAAGAAACTATAGTTTCTTCATGATGAACATTTTCCCTTTCCCTGTGGCTCTCTCTCTCTCTTTTTCTCCCTCTCTTCTTCACACGCACCCGTATACACACGTACATATGTAATCATATGTTTAAAAGCTTTTAATGCCATTTTAAGCCGATTGAAGCGGCCCAAAATCTGGGCCCCACAGTCCAACCAAGCTTCAATGTTGTTCAATGCCTTAAAAATGTAAGGCTTAAATTGTCTTTTGAAGATTCACCCCACAATGGCGCGACGTAGAGCGACGAGCCACTTCCTCAAATGCATTGTCTGGTCTGCTGCTTCTGTGTGTGTGTGTGTGTGTGTGTGTGTGTGTGTGTGTGTGTGTGTGTGCAACATGAAGGGGCACAGGTGAGGGCGAGGGGCATGGGTGGCGGTACGGTAAGGTAACAATTACCAGAGACCCATACACAATGCTCTCTCACTCTCTTCTTTCACTTTTCCATCTCTTTCTCTGAGCAAAGCTGGCGTTAAATTAATGCTTTAATTTCTTTCGACTTTTAACTTCTTTGTAGCAGTGCACACCACCCCCCTCCCTTCCACCTTCTTTCCCACCCTTTTCTTTCGGGTTCGTGTCGAACAACAATTGGATGGAAAAGTTTTCATTAAAATAGGAGGCAATTCAAT